CTTCCAGCCTAGGCCATTCTATGGTTCTATGCTAAAGCTAGTGTGTAAAAGAAGTTGGACAATCTGCACGCCAAAGTTTCCCAATCTCTTCATTGACCACTAACCCTCAGTATGTGTCCGGAGTTAGGGGTAATTAATCCCACCCACAGCTGCCTTGATGGTCATGAAGCCTTTAGTTCAGGACAATGCCAGCACATCTGAAAGCAGACAAGAATTATGCGCCTCTCAGAGTTTAACACAGACCCGCTGATCAGCAGATCATTACAAAAGCACCTCCTAGGCTGCTTCTTTGCAGCACCTGCTGCAGGCAGTTGGTGCTGGTGACTCAGGTCCCAGCACCTGGAACTGCAGCACTAGTGATGATTCCAATTGCACTGCAAGGGTACCCAAGGAAGCTGAGGCTCCAACCCTTTGACTTAAACTGGCTAATCAGAGTCTGAAAGCTAGCCCTCTAAGAAGCAGTATCTGAAACTTATATGATGTTATTTCCAGTTTGCTTATTGTCACCACTAAATGCCATCCAGCTGGTGGAAATTGCATGTATTTTTAAGATGTAAATGAGATATCACTTTCTATTCACCTCTGTTAGGACAGATAGTTTAAGCAATTTTCCACAGAAACTGAACTGCCCGTTGGAAAAAGAGCCTGTAAAGTGCAGGTAGTTGGCTGCCAAAGAATATGAAGACCAAGGCTGTACCATAAAATTATAATGTTAGTTGAGAGTGTAACCCAGCAAAGTACTTTAATCTATGTGTTAAATCCAGACTGACTAGCAGAGGCTTGGTGGACCAGCTGGTGATTTGCAGCCTGTACTTCGAGAGTGCTGGCTTCAGATCCAGAGTAGCTTTTGCGCTTACCTGTTCTTGATTTAAGCCTGGAAGAAAAGCTGACTTAATGCTCATGTATGCAAACAATTTCTCACTGATCAAAACTGTGCTCCATTTGATGCAATGATTTCCCTACAACGGAAAGTTGCCGAGTTTGCATAAAGCAACTCTTCCAAGCACTGCCTAAGATTGATTCTGTTGTTACCCATATACAATACATGCCTTAAAAATTTGCTACCTTCTGGTAAAATCAGTTCTTACAGTGATTGTCCATATTCTGAATATAAATTCAAATTCATTATCATGCCATAATAGTTGATATATGGACACTGACATTTTGTGACTGCTGTATTTGCTTCAGGTGAGTGTACACTTCAGAGGCTTCTAAGGGGTAATGAAGCTATCGCAGCTGGTTTTGTCCTTTAGCTTTTCTACAGAATTTTTGACTAAGTGGATCCACAAGCAGATACAAATCACATGGGTGCTTTTTTTTTTTTTCTCTTTCTAATCCGTTTTGGGACTTTGGCAATCATTTTCTGCAACTTTTAGTCAGTAACAACATGCTTTGAAGAGCTGATGTGAGTCTAAATTTAGGCTCATGCACATATCAGCTGGGAATTCTGCAGCATACAGCAGCCGACGAAATATCATTTACATGGGAGCAGATGAGTGAAGTGTTTGCTGGTTTTTTTAACTTCATATTGATTAATTTGCCTTGGGATTTATCAAGTAATAACTGAAGCAATGAATTCTTTCTCAGTAAGTTATTTAGGTTTTTAAATTAAATTAAATTTTTACTGTAATGTATTTTTATTATATTAGTGTCTAACAATCTAATTTGTGTGAGGCACTCTGTAAACATGTAGCAAGAAGGAGTCTCAGCTCCAGAAAGCTTTCGTAACGAAGGCAGACAAAAAGGGGTAGAGGAACATAGCTGCAAAACTGTGAATTCATTTGTCAGATTCAGTGACAAAACAGAACTAGAACCTCTGTCAATTGAGTGCTGTCCTTGTGCATTCATCCCTTGGCTCGTTAACTCTCTGCAAACACTTTTGCATTCATTTTTTGGGTACATTTCCAGAAAATATTGTGTGCTCCATCCAACTCAGCTGTGTTTAGTTGGTGTTTGGGACATTCAGGGCCTTAAGAGACTAGATTTGATGTATCCTAATGCATCATTTCATCCAAATATATGTTGAACATGAGATATCCACTAGTAGTATAAGACACCGATTTAAAACAGCACTGCTGTTATGGAGACCACAGAGGAAGGACCTCATGTCCATTGCTGGGATGGCTTTCACCACTTTTCTTATATGTTTAGAATTATATTCTTAGTCCCTCTTTATATTTGTGTATCTTAATAATTTGAATCCAGGTTTCTCTGAAAAAAGTATTATTCATTCTTTTATAAAAAGCACAGTCTTCTTCCTCCCAACAGGAGGCATTTTTGCAGGCTATGAAAGGTCACTTTACTTCTTGTTTTTCTTCCACAGGCCTGTTGTATGTTGGCTTTAGTGCCTGTATGTTCGGCCTCTACAGCTTTATGCCAGTGGTCATAAAGAAGACCAGTGCTACTGCCGTCAACCTCTCCCTACTCACAGCTGACCTGTACAGTCTTTTCTGTGGATTATTCCTCTTCCACTACAAGGTATGTCGAAATAAAAGATATATTTGAGTAATAGGAGTATGCCTGAAGAAACATCGATGCAGAGCCATGAAACAAAAGAAGCCTTCAAGCTTCTTAGATCTACACCATAAAAGTGCTGATTATTTTCCCACACCAAAACCAATTTTATGTTATGATTTACAGTTTTTGAAGAGAGTTTATTTTGTCATGTCATTATGAGTTTTAAGATTTGAGTGCCTGTTCATCAGCAACTGTATCACTGATTTTATTCTACTTATCAGAGGAAACTCCGTTGCTGTGACCACACCCAGGGTGGCAGCATGAAGGGAAGGACTCTTCCAAAAATCTCACAGATTTATTGTTTTTTTTTCCTGGGAACAAGCTTGTTTCATTCATGCTAATTCTGAATTTATAACTCGTAACTGTCCATGAATTATGCCTTTCTTATCAGCCAAACCAGTGGCTTGCCTGTTAGTGTAAATGCCAAAACGTTCAGCAGATTTCTGTTGAAGTTAAACTTTTACCTCTTGGATCCTCTAATATTTAAAATATTGTGTTGTACAGGCACACATATGGTCTGCAATTATTCTCCAAGGAATGGCACTTCAGTATTCACAAGTATCCCCCCGCAGTGTCTGTCATATGAAAGCAGCATCGGTGTGCTGGAGATAATTGCTTTTTACCATCATTTATTCATAAGAGGAGGCTTACTTGATAGCTAAAATGGTCGTCCAGATAAGTGTTAGGTAAAGGAAAGCCTTAAAACTCTAGTAGCTAAGCAACTCAAATCAGATTTTGTGATACTAATGGTACCTGAAAGAATCTGAACAAGACATGGAAAATTAAAAGTTTCAGAGTCCAATAAAAAATTGTTTCTCACTGTTGCCTTTTATTTTGGTTTTACAGCTTTGGGAATTTTGCAGACAGAATAAAAGCAGGTATAGAAACAAAAATTTAACTCAGACCACAATGTAGAGGTTGTCTGCTGCTTTACAGGTCTGTCTCAGAGTGATTTGACTCCTCTTTCTTTCTGCCCCAAACTTCAAATCCAAAGTGTCTGACATGAGGTATTTGATAAAAATTGTTCTTTTCTATTAATATTATTTCATATCCACAGCAAAATATTTTTCATTGTGTTAGTCCTCTAACTAAGGAAAATGGCTGTATTACACAGTAGAACACAGACAAACTTATTTCTGGAAGCAGTGGTTGTGGCATTCTAGAAAATCAAACTCCTAGAGGGAGAGACTCAGAAGGCAGGATGGATTGGACAGCTTTGTGCTCAGCATTGCTCACACCTAACAGAAAAGGCAATTTTGCAAATGCAAACCTTAAACTTCAGGCAGTTGAAAGGCAGAAGATGCATAAAAGGTTTCAGTTCTTCCTTGTGTCTAATTGTTAGGTACACTAGCAGAGCCACGAAGGCAGAATTTTCAACCTCATTGACACCCTGGCTTTCTACAGTAAGTGCACATCACCTCGCAACCGCAGTGGCACCTTGGCCTCCCTTTAAGACCTATACTTAAAAAGTGCTTGAGAAGGCTCAGAACTGGAAGGTTTGCTGGTTGAAAGCAGGATCTCATAATTTGTCCTGTTAAACTGTTTGAGTTCTACCTCTGAAGTAGCTGCTGGTCCTCTCGGCCCCTTCCTCATCTGATTAGAAAACTGAAATCTCATTCTCCTGTAGTGAACTCTATCTTACAGTCTTCTTCATAAACTTTTATCAAACTCTTTCTTCAACTTATTTAGCTTTTTTACCTCCACTGCTCTTCTTGGGAAACCATTTCACAACATCATTACACCAACACTTATAAACCTTATTTTCAGCATAAGCTTAAATGGCTGGTTTTGGTGCACTTATCTTTCTGCCAGTAGTATCCCTTAGTATGACGAATGCCCCTGTCTCTTTAGCATTTTACTCCGTTGGTAGAGCAGCAGTCATAACCACTCTTAGCCTCTAGTTCACTAATCAGAGTAAGTCCTTCTCTGCACCTCATCTGGTTGGATTTCATCCTTCCTGAAACAGTCACTTCAACTCGAGAAGCAGGAAAAGTCCCACCAGAACCTGATGCAATGCTCTTATCTCACCATTTCTCCAGGAAGCCTGTTACTGTACAGATAGTAAGACTGTATTTACATTTTTAATCACTGCTTTTCCTCTGTGGTTTGTACTCATTCTGCAATCCATATAATTCGTGTGTGTCTCTGCTTTGTTCTTTCCCAGCTGAAGTGTTGATAAGGAAAAGACTTTTGTCATCTCTAAGCACATGGAAGAGAAGAAGGTTATCAGGAGTAGTCAGCATGGATTTACCAAGGGGAAATCATGCTTGACTACTCTGATATCCTTCTATGATGTTGTAACTGAATGGTTAGATGCAGAGAGACCGGTGGATGTAGTCTACCTTGACCTTAGCAGGGCTTTTGACACATAACATCCCTGTGAGCAAGCTCAGGAAGTGTGGGATAGAAGAAAAGACAGTGAGACAGATTAAGAACTGGCTACACAATAGAGCCCAAAGAGTGGTGAGCAGTGGTGCCAAGTCCAGCTGGAGACCTGTAACTAGTGGAGTCCCTCAGGCATCAGTGCAGGATCCAGTCCTGTTCAACATCTTTATCAATGACCTTGATGACAAGACAGAGTGTCTTCTCAGCAAGTTTACCGATGATACAAAACTGGGAGACTTGGCTGATAGACCTGAAGTCTATGCATCCATTCAGCAAGATTTGAACAGACTTAAGAGCTGGGCAAAGAGGAACCTAATGAGGTTCAACAAGAATAAGTGCAGAGTCCTGCTCCTGGGAAGGAATAATAAAATGCACCAGTACAAGTTAGGAGGCAATCTGCTAGAGACCAGCTACACAGAGGACCTTGGAGTCCTGGTGGACAACAAGTTATCTGTGGGACAACAATGTGACCTTGCAGTCAAGAAGGCCAGTGGTATCCTGAGGTGCATTAAGAAGAGTGTGTCCAGCAGATTGAGGGAGGTTCTCCTGCCCCTCTACTCTGCCCTAGTGAGACGTCACCTATAGTATTGCATCCAGTTCTGGGCTCCCCAATTCAAGATGGACAAGGATTTACTTGAGAGAGTCCAACAGAGGATGATTAAGGGACTCAACACCTGCCTTATGAGGAAAGGCTGAGAGACCTGGGGCTTTTTAATCTGGAGAGGAGAAGACCGAGAGGGGATCTAATCAATGTGTATAAATATATGAGGGCTGGGTGTCAAGAAGGAAGGGACAACCTCTTTTCACTTGTGCCCTGTGATAGGACAAGGGCAATGGATGCAAGCTAGAGCACAAGAAGTTCCACCTCAACATGAGGAAGAAGTTTACTGTAAGGGTTACAGAGCACTTGAATAGGCTCCCCAGAGAGGTTGTGGAGACTTTAAAGACCCATTCGGATGTGTTCCTCTGTGGCCTGCCTTAGATTCTGTGGTCCTGCTCTACAGGGGGATTGGGTTAGACTCGATCTCCAGAGGTCCCTTTCAACCCCTAACATTCTGTGATTCTCCGATTCCGTGATTTGTCAGGACTTTGTTGAAGGGCCTTTCCCAAAATGCAGTGTCAATTTCCTCAGCTGTCAGTGTCTCCTTTCATACCCTTCAAACTTGCCTTGCAGAGGAAATTTGAAGAGAGGCTGTATTGGGAGATCACCTAGATTTAAAAGCCCACTTAGTTACCTGGGTGCTTCTTTAGTTACCATGTTTTTAGCCTCCTTTTCTTTCTGATTTACTATCAGGTATTGCTTTATATGAGGAAGTAGAACTGCAAAGTGTGCCACTTGCCCTTAGTAATGAAGTGTAATATGTTGGCGTTAAATGATCCAGATTTCCCTCCTAGGACTCTGTACACTTGCTTGTTTTCTAGCTTCTGAAAAGGTGTTTCATTCCCAGCCCAGCTGTATGTCTTCTTCAGATAGGCAACTCCTTCTGCTTATTGCTGCCCTGGCCAATCGGCACAGCCCCACTTCACTGGGAAGCAAATAGTTTTATGCTGAATTAGTATCAACTGAGTGGTTTAGGGCCGCTAGCAGAATATAATTTTATGAGTCTTTCAAGAAACAGTTATGATTTTTTCCCTGTGCTGCTGCTTTTGTCAGTTTTTTTATTAGTTTAACTGGGCTTTAGAGCCTCTGAAACCAAACAGAGGAGGAGATTGCATTTGAAGTGGTTTGGTTCGTTAGCATTTCATTTTTTGTAATACAGACTTGCATCACCATGACATGCGAGACTGTGAGTTTATAACACGCTGCATTTATATTCCAGTCCCGTGTGCAGGTATCTTCGTAGCGCATTGAACAGTTCCCACACCTGTGGAAACTAGAAATGCAGCATGTTAATCTGACACAATTCTGGTGATATACTTGTAATGCAAGGTCTTAATTGTTCAAGGTGTTACTGTATTAAAATGTAATGTTTTATGGCTTTCAGTTTGAGATGACTACATTGAAGTGCACCATTCTTAAAAATATCTACATCCCCCAAATAAAACCTCTCCTTCTAGTTCTTCTGTAATCAGTAACTGATTCCAAATATTCCAGTGAATGGGAAACCTGTCTGGCCTCTGGTGGCTGAATATTGGCCACTACTGTAGCATTTAAGTGTACAATTCCGTATCTTCAGCCCTGCTTTCAAATTGCTACCATATTGATGTGTTTTATAAAATTTTGATGTTCAAAACTTTCCTAGCTATCTGTTCTCATTTCACTTTCTTCATAAGCACAATTAAATTATCTCCTCCTTTGAAAAGCAAAAGCCATCAGAGTCCTAAAAACTTAGCAGAAGTTAATGATGATATTATCCCATACTATCGCATTTATCTTCATCTCTGGTTTTTCAGACTCACCTTTTGATTTGAGCTTTGCCTTGATTTTTTTGGGTTTCTGTGAACTTCATTATTTGCAGGAGTGCTAAAACCAGCCTGTGCTAGGCACAGTGTGAAGGACATTTAATGTTCCGAGTAAACAAGACTGTCCTTGCCCTGTGGGGGGCTGTGGTAGCTGGTTTTTGTCATAGATATGC